TCTTAGCAATTACTATTCCGAACAAAACTGTAGTTTGTGCAGCAGAGCTGAGGTGTAAAAGGGAAGAGGAGTCCGTTATTGAGTCCGGATCTAATGTGCAATTGTAGATATCAGAAAAACATTAAAAAATGTCCAACCAATAGTTATGCAGTTTGGGGCAATTCCAAAATAAACGAGTGAGAGCCTTCTCCAAGTTTACAACGATCACATATCGGACTGATAGAAGGAAAAATCCTATGCAGTTTAGTTTTTGAGTAATGAAGTCTGAGAATTACTTTGAATTGAATTAACTGATGCCTTGCATTTATAGAGCAAGAATGGATCTTTCTCAGACTCCTCTCCCACACCTCATCTCCAATTTGCAAACCAAGCTCCTCCCCCCATGCCATCTTCAAAAAGTCAGATTTAAAATTTAAATACTCTGAAAAAGCTTTCACGAAACCAGAAACCAACTTTTTAGAATCCGGGGAACTCAGGAGTGTAAAAATTGACCCCTCTTCCGGAAGAGATGGAAAATTAAGAAAGTATGTTCGTCAGAGTATTCTTATCTGTAAATAATGAAAAAAATGTGACGCAGGGCGAGAGAACTTGTTCTGCAACTGAGTAAATGATGCAAATTGCCTGTCAATATATAAGTCTTTGAGAGTAATAATACCTTTCTGTGTCCAGACCTCAAAAGAGGCGTCTAAACATGAGGGTGGAAATGCATGATTACAATATATTGGTGTATGGATCAAAGTGTCTGGTAGAGCACAACCTTTTTTGATCTGACTAAAGATTTTAACGCAGTTCGAAATTATAAAATTATTGACCTTGGTTCACTGATTAGAGGACGAAGAAAGAAGAGCAGGGAGGGAACTATTCTCAACCCCACCACTCTCTATGACCACCCAGGGGGTGTATCGGCAGACATGACCTTTTTGCACCCTTCCTTGCCAGTAAGCAAGGAAGGGTGCTTTTGAAAATAAGTCAGAGTATAGATGTTAATCTCTAGTTTTAATCATTGATTTTATTGCTGTTGTTTTATTTGTAAATTCTACAGTCAACATAGTCACTATATCTGTAAATTCTTATTGTCTCAGCTATTTAGTCCAAAAAACCCCAAAATGCACAAACAAGTCTAAACTCAAATTCCTCCAGTGTAAGTTTAAACCTTTCTTCTTCCTCTCTTCTCTGTCCAGGTGATGGAAAGTGTGTCATCTGTGATTCCTACGTCAGACCCTGCACACTGGTGCGTATTTGCGATGAGTGTAACTACGGCTCCTATCAGGGGCGCTGCGTCATATGTGGGGGGCCTGGTGTGTCCGACGCCTACTACTGCAAAGAATGCACCATCCAGGAGAAAGATGTGAGTTTCCCGCTCCTCTTCACTTTGACACCGGATACTGAAGCAGCAAAATATCCAAGAGACTTGTTCTTTAAGATAAAAAATGTCTTTCTCTTCTCTCTCCAGCGAGATGGATGTCCTAAGATTGTAAACCTGGGCAGCTCCAAAACAGATCTGTTCTATGAACGAAAGAAGTATGGCTTCAAGAAGAGGTGAACGCGACCACGACGACCCAGTGCAACGTTTAGTCTTTCAGATTTTCTTTAAAATTCAGAAAAAATTTTTTGTTTGATTTGTCAATAAAACTCAATTTTGTACTTTTTTTCTATGACTGCTTTGTTAGCGTTTAAGGTTTTTAAATAATCAGTGAACACGTCACAAAAATGGGCAATTAAAGAGCTGGAAAGACCTGAGCTGTTACCATTAATGGTATAAATACTCCCACTTTCTGTGGACCGCTGAACACAGGGGGCAAGAGCCAAAATGAAATAACATTTTCATTGTAAAAAAATTTATTTATTTATTTTTTAAACGTAAATCTGTTTTTAGTAATCATTTAAAAAGGTACAGATGGGTGGCGAATAAAAGAAACCCCCTTTGACCCTTGACCCCTTTCATTGAGGGGCTTCAGTCTCTCTCTTATATTGTGGTTTGGGTCCATGTACCGCTGAGGAGTATTAGTTACCTTACACGAAAGCAATGATTGCGATGATTTCCTGTTTCTTATACTCTGATTATGCGTGCATACATGAAACTCCACTAAACACATCTGGTTAAAAAAAACAAACACTCTTTATAGGAAACGCCACAAAATTTAAAGAGTCGCTGAAACCAATACAAGATGTCAAGCCTGTTAAAAACCAAATAAGAACATATATCTATTTTTTAACAATGGTGATCAGCTCTTCGGTAGAATTAAATTTTATTCATACAGCGCCAAATCACAACAACAGTTGCCCTATAGTGTAAGGTAAACTCTGTACAATAGCCCCAGCCATCAGATGACCCCATATGAGCTAGCACTTAGCAACAGTGGGAAGAAAAAACTCCCTTTTAACAGAAAACCTCCAGTTTCAGCTGTGGGTGAGGGAAGGAAAAAAGACAAAGGAATCAATCTGACATATTGCAGTAATATGTGAGATACTGAACATGTTTACTGACATTTCCTGTAGTTTCTCTCAGCAGCACCACCTGGGTTGCTTTAGGACGGGGTGGGAAATCCAGGCCTTGAGGGCCGGTGTCCTGCAGGTTTTAGATGTGTCCTTGATCCAACACAGCTGATTTTAATGGCTAAACTACCTCCTCAGCATGTCCTCGAAGTTCTCCAGAGGCCTGGTAATGAACTAATCATTGGATTTAAATGTGTTAAATCCAATGATTTAACACCAGGACCAACAAGGATACCCAATGGATTTACTTTGCCAAATGGATCATCGTGGCATTGCCGTATTGGTCCATTTGGTCGATCTTTGTTTTTATTATTTATTATATTTTATTTTCAGATGTTAC